TCTCCTCCCTCTCCATAACAGCAATAGTGACTTATATACATTGTGTGCTTCAAATCTCTAACTTCATCTCCTAAGACAGAGCAGAGAAAACTCTGCTTTACACACGTACAATTATCTGCTGGATAATTTCCCTGTCTTAAGTTTTTAACTATGCTATTTAATACAAGCTAATCACAGAAATGAAGTTCAGCATAGTATAGTCCTGAGGATTATGTATGTAGGTACACCAAAGCAGGGGAGCAGGACACCTCGGGGGCAGTTTTAGAGTTCTCTCTGCCATACTTCACACAGCTAAATCTGATTTCAAAGCCCACATTCCTCTTACTATCCAAAGCTGTTTGATTATATAGAGAGAGCATATGATTGTTTGGGGCTAACAGTATAATGTCCAAGATAAAGAGATGGAAATGAAACTTACATTTCTGTTCTGCTTCCATGACTTTTGTCAAAAAGAATATGATTCCTAGCACGTAGGTGGTTCTCAATATAGTTGTTGAATGAACTATGAACTGGATAGAGAAAACTAAAGATTTGTAAAGGTAAATGGAAGGCTTAAAGTGATAAGTAAATAGCTTTTAAATGAATACTAGTTATTTTAAGAGGTTCTCTTTAATTTTAGATGAATTACATTCCTGAGTACTGAGAGAACAATAGGTGATTCCTGTAAAACCAAGTCAATGTGCATTCAACTTATTAAAAACCAGTATTTAAACAGGCAGGAGCAGGTTGCACATGCCTGTAATCCTCGCCACTGGGGAGGTTGAAGCAGGAAGATCTCAAGTTCAAGGTCAGCCTGGTCAATTTAGTGAGATCCTGTCTCAAAATAAAATAAGTCTGTAGCTTAGTGGTAGAGTACCCCTGAGTCAAATCCCCAGTACCAAAAAAATAAAAAATAAAAATAAAAAAAAAATAAAAAGAAACAAAGTCACTTTGATGATCCTCTTACTAGAGGAATAGGAAACTTGTCAAAAAAAAAAAAAAACCCAAACAAATAAAAAAGCTAATTTAGCAACACATATTTTGTATGTGGTGAAGCTATAGGGAAACTCTGAGAGTAATCTTTCCCACCTTTCATTATGTACTACACATATTTGCAGAAACAAATTGTGGGCTTAAGCCATGCAAAAGAGCTCATTTAAAAACACTTGATATTTTTTTTTCATCCAAATTAGAATGGTAGCATCTGAAGGCAAGATATGTGTTTACTTTGTATTACACTGAGTGTGTGTGTGTGTGTGTGTGTATGTGTGTGTATATATATATATTTTTTGTAATTTCTGTTAAAAAATACTATAATTTTCTGTGGCCCTATATAGATTTGCTTTCAAAATATCTAGTCAAAATTAATCCCTGTAATAAAATGTACCCATAATTCATAATACATTATAATCTGAAAAATCCTTAAGTCATTTCTTATGATTGCATTAAGTTTAAATATAATGTAACTAAGTGCAGTGTGAGAATTTCAACCTCTTTATCATAGATGAATCTCCTTTAGTCAAAAGAATTTTGAAGATATTTTAATATGAGTAACACTTTTCTCATTTTGTAAACATAGTAACTTTAATAAAAGTAACTTTGTCATAGCAATAAATAGTAAGAAATGACCAAAAGTTTATTTTTGAATGAATACCACCTAGACAAAACTGGCCCCCCAAAAAGAGGTGTTAGAAATACTACCTGTTCAAGGAATTTAGATAAAATTTACATATCATCATGATGCAATCAGAAAACAAGACATTAATACATGGTTTATTTATTAGAACTGGAAAAACTTTCATAGATCATCCTCATCTTTCATTTTAGAAAGGAAGCCACTGAGATACAGAATGAGAGATGATTTGTTAAACACCACAGAGATCACAAAAATCCAGTTTAGTGGAGGTGTAAGGGAATTCTAAGTCAGTGGCATTTAAACATGTGTCTCTCTAATTTGGAGCAAGCAATTGACTTTACATGTAAATAAGACATCCAATATCAGGTGTACCACTAACACAGAAATAGTACTATCTCAAATGTAATAACACAGTGCTAAGACACCCTAAACTCTAAGATACATCCCAGGTTCCAAATTACTAAATGGTACAGGAAAAAATTTTAAAACAATTTTTATGCATATGTACTATATAATGAAAATCAGAAATTTTACATGGGATAGTCTCTATTCTATTTTTTAATGGTGTTCTGAGTCCACTAAATTGATTTTACCACCCACTAATGAACTGACCTGATCTAAACACTAATCTGAATCATGTGTCACAGATAATTAGAAACCTTGTTAACATATACAACCAAGGTGCTAATTGTTCAATTTGATAGTAGGTGGTGAAGAAGAAAAGAAACCATTTAATGTGGACAGAAAACCACCTGGAAAGTTCTCAAATTAGAAAGAGTTTACCCTTGAATGGATTGGTAATATATAGTATAATAAAAGAGAAGTGAACTGAGAAACATTTTGGGAAAATAAACATCTCAAATGTAGATGTAAAAACAAAACAATTTTCTTTAAAGAGAAAAGTCTAACCATTTAGCTTTATAAAAATATTTAAGGACACCATTTTTTTAAAAAAGTTTTTTTTTTTTTTAGTTAGGGATGGACTCAATATCTTTGTTTTATTTATTTTTCTTATTGTTTTTATGTGGTGCTGAGGCTTGAACTCATGGCCTCACACATTCAAAGGAAGTGCTCAACCACTGAACTACAACCCCAGCCCCAAGGACACCATTTTTTAAAAATAATTTTTATCAACAGGATAAAATTTTTTCCCCCACACTTACTTTATTGGTATGTCATAGTTGTACATAATGGTGGAATTTGTTGTTACATGCACACACTGTAACAATACAATTTGGCCAAAGTCCCTTCCCAGCATCCCCCCCCCCCTTTTCTTCTTCCCTTCTTCCACTCCCTTGTCCCTCTCCTCTATTCTACTGATCTCTCTTTGATTTTCATGCCATCACCCCCCACCTTTCTTTTCCTTCTTCCATATATAAGGGAAAAAATACGACCCTTGACCTTCCGAGTTTGGCTTATTTCTCTTAACATAATAGGCTCAAGTTCCATCCATTTTTGATGAAGATGAATTTTCATGTCTTGACTGCAAAAAACATAGCAACCTGAAAAAAACTTAAATGAGGTTTCCAAATAATGAAAATATATAAAACGAACATCTTAGACAAAACTTCATGCAATATCTTTTTTTTTTTTTCTATCCCTCTCTATATAAATTCAAAAGGGATTAAGTAGTCTGGTAGCAAAGTGGCCTGAAAACAGCAGACTGGGCGTTCCCCTTTCCCAGTTTTTCTGTGTTTATTTTAGATTCAGGGATGGATTGCATAAATAAAATATTAAAATCACCTTCTTGCCAGTCTCTGCATTGAAAAAAAAATCAAGATATAATGAGGTATCTAGTATAAAGCTAGCTAACTGAAATTCTGGATGACTTGGTCTATATTCATCCTCAGAATTTTATCTCAACTCCGGACAAAAAGCAGACAAACAAAAACAAACCCAGAAGCCCATTTTGTATGTGTATGTAAAATGTGCACACCACTGTGCAAATATGTGCTCATATTCCAAAAATGTGCAAACTTGGCAGTTAGGAAATGTCAGTGCAATCGTTAGTAAGTGAAATTTCAATCCTTTTGATGAAGATACCATCTTTCAGCCAACTCCTGACAGAAAACCTTGGGTTCCTGTTAGACCCCTCCCTCCCCAGTCAACTGCTGGACTCCATCTGGAGGGACGGGGGCTCTCCCTTTCCATCATAGCTAAGCGTTCCCAGACCCAGGAGCAACCCTGGGTTCCTGCAGAGCACTCAACGTGCAGCGTAGTGTCTCAACTCTGCAAAGGACAGCTGGAAATGGATTTAAAATGGCAACGCGGACCAATCAGCGCCGTCGCGCGGAAGCAGACATTTACACGCGCCTCCTCCACATTCACAGCGGAACCTGGCGGTGCCTAACTGCCTGCCTAGGGCTGCAGAGCAGGCGTTTTTATTACACGGTGGTCTGTATCTTTGAAAGAAAAATTCTTCCCCGGGTGAAAGTTTTTATTTTGGAATTAGTCCAAAATAATTTTGGGTGTGATGTGTGAAAACCCGAACCTAATTTTTTTTTCGGTTTTGTGTTATTCAAGGATGAAAAAGAGGTGTATTAAAAAAAAAAAAAAAAAAAGAGTACTCCACCTTTTAAAAAAGGACCGTGACCAGTATGATGTTCACAGAGCTCAGCAACAGCCCAGGCTATAAAATTAGGACAGAAAAGGAAAAGGTTAAATAAAGGTAAACTGAAAAGACGGTTCAACCGTGATGTTGGCAATCTGTGAGGTCCCCTTTAAGGTGACTGTGCGTTCCCGGTGCGTAGCACCAGTCGCAGGGGGACTTTGTGTTGCCCCTAGTCTTTCTTGGAGAAAAAAGCTCAATGAAGAAACTGGCGCGTTCCGCGAGCTTGTGTCTACAAAGGTCCGGTGTCTGTATGCCTGTTATGTATGTGTGTTTAAGTTCGCCTGTATTTACGTGCGTGTTTACGAGTGCATGTTGTGTGAGCGTGTGCACGTGTGTCTGCGTGCAAGTGCGCATGTGATTATGCGTGTGTATCTTCGTGAAAGCTGTCTGTGTGCGTGCTCGCCGCGCGCCCAGGGGTGAGGAAATCCCTAGGTGGAGTCGGGCTGTCAGGGGCCAGCTCCTACTTCTCAGCAGTGCCTTCCCACTCAGTGAACTAGGACGCTGCAGCCCTTGCTGCTAGACGCTTCCGGCAAAGTTTTGGCTCCGCTCGGTGGAGGCGCAGGTAAAGGCCGAGCTCTAAAATGTGTCTTTGGGGCAGTCAAGTTCCCGCGCCTTCCCAGGACGCCCGCCCGGGAGTGACCTCCCGGCCAAAGGGGCGAGGCCCGCAGCTGGTCGGCTGGGGATCCCCGGTCTGTCCCTTTAACCCCGCCGCCCGGCGGGAGCACGTGAGCCGGGCTCGGGGTGGCACCCGGGCGCCGCCGCCGCCGCCAAGGCAGTTGTATTTCGAACTCTGTCTCTGGCCCGCGGCCAGGCGCCTTGGCTCGGCGGTCTGCCTGGCCTCCCTCCTCCTCATACTTTTCCTCCTGCGCAGCCCCCTCCCCTTTATCCGCCCACGATTAGAGGTGGGCACTCCCCCCCGTCCCGCCACCCCCGCCGCAAGCACACACACACTCATCCCCCTTGAATCCTGGGGCAGGAACTCAGAAAACTTCCAGCCCGGGCAGCGCGCGCTTGGTGCAGGACGCAGAAGCTAGCGGCCAGTCTCTTCGACTCTTCGGTGCCGCCGCTGCCTGCTCCCGCCACCCGAGGAGGCGCGGTGCCACCCACTCCTCTGTCCCTTGCTTGCGCTGAGTGCCCGACTTGAGCTCCACCGCATCTTCCCTTTCCCTCCCGACTGCCCAAGTCACTGTTTCTCTCTCTCTCTCTCTCTCTCTCTCTCTCTCTCTCTCTCTCTCTCGCAGGGGGAAAAGAGGAGGAGGAATTCTTTCCCCGCCTAACATTTCAAGGGACACAATTCACTCCAAGTCTCTTCCCTTTCCAAGCCTCTGCCGAAGTGCTCCCAGTGCCCGCAACTCCTGATCCCAAACCGAGAAAAGAGTCTCTCCAACTTCAAACCCTCTTTTCTTTTCCTCGGCTTCCCTCCTCCGCTCGCTACCTCCACCGCCAAAACCACCTCCACCTTCAGCACTCACCCACCACTGTCGCCGCCACCGGCAGCGCCTCCTTCTCTCCTCCTCCTCCCCTCTTCTCTCTTTGGCAGCCGCTGGACGTCCGGTGTTGATGGTGGCAGCGGCGGCAGCCTAAGCAACAGCAGTCCTCGCAGCACTCCAGCTCTCGCTCTCCCTGCCTGCTTTTCCAGCCCTCTCACCCAGTCTCCCGAAAGGTGCTGGGCAGATTTCGGGTGGCTGAGGCTAAGCGGCTGCAGCGGCGGTAGCGGCGGCGGTAGCGGTGAAGGCAGCGCTTGCGGCGGCGGCGGCTGCAGGAGGCAGGATGAGCGCACGCGGTGAAGGCGCCGGGCAGCCGTCCACTTCAGCCCAGGGACAACCTGCCGTCCCGGCGCCTCAGAAGAGAGGACGCGGCCGACCCAGGAAGCAACAGCAAGTCAGTACGCGGGCGCGGCGGGGACACTAGTCCACCTCCGTGTCCTTTGCGAGGGCCCCCGACGCGTCGGGCGACCAGAGCGCGGGAGCCTAGTGTCCGCGGCGGCTTCACACAGCCCGCTGATCAGGGGGGCGGGCGGTGGAATCCCCTTAGAGTTCACCGCGGAGCTCCAGCTCCCCTTGGGGATGGGAGGTGGGGAGTCGCTGCGGGCGGCCCTGGAAAGGCGGGAGGTGGGGTCGTGCGAAGCATGTCCTCGGACTTTCGCTATTGTGCACGGCCCTGAGTGGCGCGGGGTCTCCTGGTGACTGGAAGCGGCCGGGGTCCCACAAATCAGGGCTTGCCAACTCTCTCTAAGCTGCCTTTGCAATTACCCGGGGAAGCGAGTCGCTGGGGACTAGGGCACTTTAGCTGGTTGGGGTTGAAGGGGCTGGAGTCCTGGGGCCCAGAGGCTCTTTCTCCCGCCTCTTGGGGCTGCTCGCCGGCAGTTTGGCGCGCCGCAGTCGACCCCCTTGGCGCCCTCCCCAAGCTCTCTGTGGCCCAAGGCTCGCGCCCTCCCGACAAAGAACGCGTGGGGACCGGGCTGCCGGGGTGCTCTTAAGGGATCTTTAAATTCCCTGCGACAGCCGCCAAAGGTGGTCCGGGGAAGGGGCTGTAGGGGATCCTAGGCGCCCAGCTGGAGGGGTTAACTCGCTTCGCCCAGGGCGCGTTGGAAGGAGTGTCCGAGAAAGTGCACAGTAGCTAGGGTCACTTCCTCGCCAAGCGCCCCGTCTCCCTTTTGCTCCTGGATCCCACGTTAATGTTCTTTCGCATTAAATGCTCTTCCCTGGGACGAGCGGCTGGGGGCTGGGAGGGTACAATCGAGGGGCGCCCGGGACCCCGCGGAGCAGAGGGTTTTGTCTGCGGATGCAACCAATTAAGCGTGCAGCCGGCTCTTGCAGAGCTGTGCGCAGCGCCCAGGGCGGGGGGTTTTGTTCGCTGCAATTTCCAAGGCTCAGCCAGCGGGGTTGGAGCAGGACATGACCACAAGAACATTTAAACTCCGCTTCTTCTTCGGACTTTAAAACTTCTTATTTCCTTATTCTTAACTCACGTTCCTCATGGCAAATAAACTGATGAGAAAATAATCCTAGAGTCCAAAACCTATCCGAGAGCAAATTGAGGGAAATTGAACAACGTTTGCTTACCAATGCATTTTAGAAAAACTGAGAGGGTTGTACCTATTTGAAATCATCAAAGGAAACAAGCCAATCTAGAGGCCCCTGAGTTTTCCCGCTCTGCGCAAGCGACACTTTATGTCGCCTTTGGATCCTGTTTTACACCTCCCAGGAAGTCTCTGCCCTACACCGCCCCCCCCCATTTCCCACCAGCCACCCAGCTCTGCTAATTTGCACCCACACACAAACACACACACACACATACACACACACACACACACACACACACACACGCCAAAAAAAAAATCTAAAAGAAAATGTTAGGGAATCTGGAGGTGATTGGAAGTTTTACCTTCGAGTTAAGGAAGAGTTCACCAAAGAAAGAAAAATGTGTCTAGGGATGTGTGTGTTCAGGATGTGCCCCACTGGAACTAGTATCCCTCAGAAGCCTGTAAGGAACTGTTCCCAGATTATCTAAGTAGGATGTGAATTTTCATTGAGAACTTTCATGCATTTTAATTAGTCTGATTTAATCACCGAATCTGAATGAAATGTGAATGATTCACGGGATAAATATTTAAGATTTGAAATAGTAATCATCACATTTTCTTAACCACTTAGTATTTACTACTTGGCATAGGAGCCATTTAAAGTCTTGCTTATAGAAATGATTGTTTCAATTTCTCCTTCCCAGATATTTCCTCTTATCTTCCCTTTCCTCCTTTTGGTTTCCTCCAATTCATCACCATAAAAGTATCCTGAATAAAACATGCTTATTCTTATAAAAAGAAACTTAAATTTCGACTGGAGACCATGCCCGCCTCATGGAAAGGAAGTGGAGAATTGAAGCAATTATCTAGATAATTCAAGCAAAACCTCCCCCCTCAGGTTTACCATAATTATTTGGAACTTTTAGGGGGAATGGAATTGTTTTGAGCTGAAGAAGTTGGGTAATTGCTCCAATATTTCACTCAGAATGTGTCGACTGACTCCTAATCAATTTAGAATGCACATGTACAGAGATGATTAAAAGATACCTTTTCAATATGAAGATTATTGAGAATGCTAGCTTCATATTTCTGTTGTTTGAAATAATGGATAGTGGTATTCATGTAAAATGATCAATGTTTCCATGTATTGCCAAATGCATAACTATGTAAACTTTTATATCTTAAAAATATATGATTTTCTTTCTAGAACATGCAGCCTTTTCAGATTTTGCTACCATTTTGGGTTTGAAATAAAATCTAGTTTTCTTATGCAAAATAGTTTTCTCTTTGAATTCTTGAATTAAAAGTATAGTCATTTTCCCTTTCTGTAAACTCTGTACTATTATCATCCACTTATATTTGAACTGAATGTATTCCAGCAGCTCTGTTTTGAGCAGCACATGCAGAAAACATAGCTAAAGAGTCTGGGTCAATTTCTTTCAGACGGTCTTTGCCACAACAGCATTTTTTTCCTCCCACAATTAGGAGCCAACCTGTGAGCCCTCACCTAAGAGACCCAGGGGAAGACCTAAAGGCAGCAAAAACAAGAGTCCCTCTAAAGCAGCTCAAAAGGTGAGAATTCTCAAGTCAAGCTCTCCTAATTTCATTAATGACTGCAGGAACCTCCTTTTAATTTTCCCATTTTAAATCCACACCTAAAGATTTGTCCCAGATGGGTAACCCTGCATTTAACATTAGTTGGATGGCAGTTAATCTTTTTTTCCTGAGTGATTTAGCAAAAAAGTTTCCTGCAGTTAGTTACAGTGTTTTTAAACAAACACTACCAAATAATATGAACCTTAAAATGCTGGTGGAGGAGTGAAGGGGTGGGGGTGGATGGTTGGGGTAGTGAATGATAAAATTAATATTTGAATCAATGGTTAAAGAGTTAAAAATATTAAAACTATAAATTTTGTCTGGTAGTGAAAATTTTGCAGTTTCCTCTGAAAAATAATAGAGATTAATTTACTTGGTGCTTATTTAAATGACTACTGTAAGCCAAGTCCCCCTTTTAAGGTTATGTGTTTTGCCAAATAGACAATAATTAGAAGTTAATCCATTTATGGAATGCTGGAAAAAATTTCATGAACTTTACAACTTTAAATGTGATGACAATGTATCACTGTTTGTTTTATAATGAACCTGCAATATAGTATATCATAATCCCTAAAACCTTTTCATAAAGTGTTATTCTCTGAATTGAACAATGAGATTTTAAAACAATTATTTTACTCATATATATATATATGTATGTATATATATATATATATACATACATATACATACATACACATATAGGTAGAATATGTGTGTGTGTGTGTGTGTGTGTGTGTGTGTGTGTGTGTATGTATTTGGGTAGGGTAGAACCCAGTCAAGTTTAACAGTCAACGTTTTGGAAAAATTTAAATTGCAGCTTAAAATAACTTCATGTTGGTTGTATTTTGAGTTAGCAAAGAGGAAATATCTCAAGATACATTGTTGTATAGAGAGGTGAAGGTGAATTTAAAAGTCAATTTTGACTTTATGAATCATAAAAGTTTGCATTTTATTTGAAAGTTTGTATAACAGTTGAAAACAAAGGTTCAAAAATTACAAGTAAATTTTATCTTCTTAAGATCTGAATATGTCATGTATAGTATTTGTTTAAAGGACCATGTATTCATCATTTTGAGATCAATGTTTTGTTTTTTTCTGTGACTGTGCACCAAGCACATTATATGTGATAGTTTTCAGTGATGTAAACTGCCATAGTTCTAGTGATACATATTGTTATTTATAAGTAACTATGATTTGTCTGTTTTATTTTAATAGTTTTGAACAAAGTTGAAGGGCAAATTTCTCATATATTTAACTGTTTCTTAAAGTTTACATTTAATTGTAACTCATATTTATCAGTAAATTTCAAAGGAGCTCTAAAAAACTTTTAAAAGCTCTAAGAACCTTTAAAAGTGACAGAACATAATTTGGTGTTCTTAATATGAATACTTTCTATTTGTTCTGTTTTACCTGGTGTATAAATTAACTAAAAAGAACTAATTTTAGTAGTTATTCTAATAGGAGTTATTTCAGATTCTATAAGCATGAAATTTACCTTACTTATTTTTTCTCTCAGAGATAGCAAACCTGTGTGTAGCTAAAAAACATTTGAGCTACCATGTAATTGTTCTAAAAAAAATGCATTGTTACATCTTTATAGCTCACCATAAATAAATTTTTAAAAATTTGATGCAAAAAAGGAAAATGAATAATTTCCCAAATTTTATTATATTTCTTTATTTATTTAGGTTTTTTTTTTTTGAGGAAGTAGGTAGAAATGGTCCCATCCCCTTCTCTGATCTTTAAAAAGATTACCACTGACCAATAGCATCTTTATTGACAAAAGGAAATCTGAGACTTGTGTGTAATTTACCATTCAAAGCAAAATAACAAAATTTGATCTATTCCCAAGTAACATTTGTTTTATTTTTAGTGACTTCAGTGATAGGCATTTACAAAGACCCTTCTAGGCCACTCATCTCCTTTATAATTCTTCCTGTGTATGCAAATATTTGTGTAGTTTCCAAAATAGAGGTTTTCTTTCTCCCAAAGAAGTCCTTTTTTGAAATATTTTATTCTTCCAGACATAATCATTTCATATAATTCATTTACAAAATTCCCTCTTCTAATAAAAGTGAATAAATACATTTGCCCATAACATGACTGTTATTTTTCTTCAGTTTTATTAATTAAGCTTCATTTGGAGAAGATAATACTTTGCAAAATAATGATGACATTGATGAATTGTTCATGGCATGTATAAACTTAAGGCATTTCACTTTGAAATCAGTATTGATTGAATGTGCTTCTATCCCATATAGACATGATTATCAAACACATCCTTGTTTATCAAATATATATTGTATTCTAAAAAAGCATATGTTCATTAGGATTTTCAACTACAAATGTTTTTAGAAAAATATTGTTGATAACATGTAAGATAAAAACAAACAAACAGCAACAACAACAAAAAAACCTCCTGTAGAATGACTAGAGTAGATATGAGAAGTCTTCTATGGTTAATAAATTGGGAGTTTTCTTACATACTGGATTTATCACAATGAAAAAATGTATCATAAAAATTGGTAAGTATATGAGAGAAAAGAACTCTAACGTTAAAGGAGAATCCTGATATTGTGTGTTTAACATATCTTGCTGCTTGGTGTTTGTATTTTACTTACAAAGTTTGTGTTTGGACTCAGCAACTGGCCTTGAGGTATCTGAAAACCAAACTGCTTGTTAGAAAATTAACAGTGTGAAACTTGACAACGAATGCAGAATGTGTCAAGTGGAGACTGGCTACCAAATTAGCCATCACTTGAATTTTAGGCTGATTTAATAGAAAATAGATTTATGTAATATGTCAAACAAATTTATAAAAAAACACAATTTATGTCTGAAACTTATGGAAGAAAAAAATTATTCTTCAGTCTATTTATATTCCATTAACACCAATTCCCATGGATGACCATTCTGTGACAATTCCAGTCATTCCTAAGAACTCCAATCTGAGTATGCCTGAACGGGTTTCATATTGTTACCCTTAATAAAAGAAATCCGAAGTTAATGTTTTTCTGAATAAATACTTTATCCAAAAGAAAGAGAAAGAGAGAGTGTATACATGAGTTTGTTCACCCTTTTATTTATTTTTTAGATTGAGATACACTTTTAGATTGAGATACCAGTTGTCTCTTGCTCCTCTCCTCAAGTCCCTACCCCCACCATTATCTAACCCCCCTCACTTTTTTTTTTTTTTTTTGCAATGCTGGGACTCCAACCCAGGACCTTCTACATGCTAGGTAAGCACTCTATCACTGAGCTACAACCTGGGCCTTACAGTTGTCTCTTAATTTCCTCTTTGTTTTGTTTTGCTTTTCTCTCTTAATTGTGATGTGTAGAAATACTTTGAATTTTCCCAATTCTCATGTCTGAAAAGAATGAAGGTATAATAACGTTTGTTTCATTTGGGATTCTGTTGTTCCTTTTCAATCATGAAAGAATATTGGAGGGACTGACACTACTTCTGTATGTAAAGTCACAAGTTAAATTTATCTTTAAATTTCAAGCCAGTTCGCACACAAGTGCTCCTAAGAAAAATGTATTTTTCTGAGATTGAATTATATTTTTATAAAAGGGAAATGAATTTTTTAAAATGTCAGGTGTAAGATAATCCTACTTCATAAGTCAGATTTGCTTGACCTTCCTTTTGACTTTAGGTGAAATGGCCAGACCAAGAGAGCAAAGTGCAGAATTAAAGTATCATTTGGTAAAGTATGCATGCTTCAAAGAAAGTCTTCAGAAAAATATTTAATTTCCATCTTCAATTTGCTATGAAAACATAGCCTGATATTAATTGGGTACTAAAAAGACTCATTCATACTCCTAATCATTTGCATTTCTAGAAATGGGATTGATTTTTTTTAAAATAAATTAATTACTAACACCAATCACAAAAATTTTAGGAGGAGAAAATTTGGGATTTACTTATCAATTCAGAAAAATCTTACAGCATAGGTGCTGCATGAGGACAGGATTTTCTTTACAGAACATAGTAGGCCCAAAAGCATCATTCTTTCATAAGTCAGAGAAAGGTTACATTGGGAGCTGCCATACAATTCCAACCTGTGGTTCCTACAGCACTGGCATAATTTAGTTTGAGTCCTCTGTTTTAATGGGCAGGTGAGTTCCATTGTGAGAATCACATTCCTATCTGAGTTTACAAACAAATTCAAGTAGGAGGAATTAAGTAAAGCCCAACTATTATGTCTATTATCTTGACTTAGTTAAACAGTTGACTTTTTTTTTTTTTAATTTCACTTTGCCAAAGTCTTACTTAATGCATCAATAAATTATGTCTGGCAATGCCTTTGAATCATCATAGATTATGATCCAAATATGGGAGATTGGAATTCATTTGAATTCTTTTATGTAGTCACTTTATGTCAGGGGACCCATAGTTGTAATTCTCTGGAAACTCTCATCCCTCGGAAGTCTTTTATCAAAACTCCTTTTTTTTTTTTTTGGCTGACTTACATCCCTGGCTAATTTTTATCTTGAGGTCTCAACAGATCATTTTGCTAAGGAGACCGAATATACCAGATTGGCATTCCCCTGCATTTCAGTTCTTTCTTGAGAACAGTTGGATGCTGAAGAGCATTTTATGCCAGTTGAATCTTTCCAGCCTGTCTTGTCTTGTTAGTTGACTTCCTGCAGTTTCCAGAGCTCATCTTAGAACCACATAGCTTGGCACAAGGGTAGAAACTGAATTTCCTTGTCCTAGATGCTTGAGTTTTTCATTAATGAATCTTGGTTCTGCCAACCAAGTGAAAAAGATGAATGGGGAACTGACTCTATTTTATTCTGTTGCTTGACTTTATATTCATTTAATACACTAAACAATTTTGAATGGCGTATACTATTTGAATTTAGTGAGTTATAGTGCAGTCATTCTCTTTTCTTTAGGAGAAAGGAGGAAATGGTTTGCTCAGAAGGTAACCCCTGTGAACTCTTGTATCAGTTCTCATTACAGAAGAGGTAGAGGGAAGATTATATAATAACTTTTCCTGCCATTTTTGGCCTTGATTTTAAGTTAGTGTTTGTAAATGTGTGTGAAATAATGACAGAGTTGACAATGAGGGCTTCCTTGGGTGAAATAAGCATGAAGAACAATGAATGATGGAATTCACTTTTACTTCCTACTGCAAAATATATTTTGAGAGCAAATTGTAACATCTTTTCAAGAGTAAAATGAGTGATCCTTTAAAATGGGGAAACCAATGGAGCTAGACTATCAAAATGGCAAAATGAGAATTTACTCAATGCTTTTTCTGATTGATTAGTCCAGTTGATTTTGATGCCAGTGCACATTGATTTACACTGTTTCTGTTTTTTAAGTGAGCAATTGATTTTCTAGACTTTGATTAGTCAACTTTGTATACTCTTAGGTCTATGCAGGTCTTGGTCTTTAAAAAGTCAGAATACATAAAAACAAAATAAGGAACCCCCCCACCCACATATTTTATAGTTTTGGGTTTTTTTTTCCTGTGCAGATGCACTGATGTATTTGGAGTAGGAAATTCTGACTTCCATGTGTCATTCATCACAGTGTAGATAAAACATGATGGGAGCATTTATAATTGCAAAAAATTGATATTTGTCTAAATTAGTCCCTGAAGTTAGAAATGAATTATTTTCTTGCTTCCTGATCACTGTGCTTGTCCATGTCTTTATAGGAATATTGAAAATATGTTACTTTTGGCTACTCATTTGATTTTCACCCTAGAAGGTTTCCTTTTGTTTTTTAAAATTTGCCCATGGCAATTTAGTTTCATACAGGAATATCTTCAGGAAGAATAGACCCTTACTGCCTTGACATTCAGCTGGGTCTCGGTTCCACTACTTTACAAATGTGGGCAGGTTGCTTCATCTTGTATGAGGTGGAAAATCAGAAGTAATGGCTGGCCTACTAAAGTGAAATTGTCCCCAGAAAAACACTGCGGAGACTTTCAGGATTGCTAGGTATTCTTTTAAAGGGCAACATTCTAAAACAAGAGGAGAGCAAAGAAGACATTACATTTGAGTACCCACCAAATGCCATAGCTTTTTCAGGTACTTTACATACTGTTTATCTTAGTTCTTTTAATCTCTTTATTAGTTGTTGTGGTCTCCATTCTACCAATGACAGACTGTGGTTCGTGGTTGTAAACTGTGACATCTCTAATGGAAAAAACTGGGTTTAAATGCAACTAATTCCAAAGCTTATATCCTTTCCACCACTGTGAACTGTCAAATATTTTATAAACTGACTGCTACAAGGTAGATTTCTCTTATCTCCAGTGAGCTAAAATGCAGTTCGAAAGTTAAGTTGTGAGAAGCTTTTGGAGAGCCACTCTACAAGCTTATAAAGGGATTGGAAATGTGTGCCTTCTACCACTGATACCCACAGACTTCTAGCCCACAGGGAATTTGGAGATTAGTGCATCCAGAAGTTTTCTTATTTATTAAATGAGAGTACTTTAAGAAATGATATCTGCAATCTTGCCAAGCTCCAGAATTTTGATGGTAAGAAGAAAATAAAACATATATAAACACAATGCCTCTCCCTTCCCCTCCCCTCATTCATTTCCCCTCCCTTCCTTCCTCAAATACATAGTGAACATTTCTTCTAAGCTAGGCTCTAACACCAAGTACTGTACTGTTTTCAAATTCAAGAGCAATATTTGCTTTTCTTTTATTTTTCTTTATTTATTTTTTATTTTTTATTTTTTTGCAGTACTGGGGATTGAACCCAGGGGTACTTTACCACTGATTTATATTTCCTGACCTTTTGATTTTTCATTTTGAGATGGGATTTTGCTAAGTTGCCCAGGCTAGCCTGAAATTTCTGATCCTCCTAACTCAGCTTTCTGAGTCACTGGAATTACAGGTGTGCACTTCTGTGCACGGCTTGAATTTCCTTTTTTAATTACCTTTTTTTAAAAAAATTGTCATTTTTTAAATCTTTATTTTTTTTTTAATGTGGTACTGAGGATTGAACCTAGTGCCTCACACGTGCAAGGCAAGCACTCTACCACCGAGCTACAGCCCCAGCCCTTAATTACCATTTTTTGAAAATGTAAGAGCCTAGAGCATCAGAACTTCTTAGAGAAAGAAATACATTTCCCATTGTACAAATTCCTATTCAACATTAAATATAAAATGAAGTTTATATTTCTATATATAAACTTTAACAAAGAAATAAAAATATAAATAAAGAAAATCAAGGAGGAAGAAGCACTTTTAATGATAGATAGTTGTGAATACTAGCATAATAGTGCTGATAAAAACAATTTTTCTTTTTTCCAAGTGGAGAATCCCTACTGTCGCTCCCTTTGTCTATATAAGCAGGAAGTACTTGGAACTAGTTGTGACTTACTTATACAAGCTTTTGGAGTATAGAACCAAACTATTCCAGTAAGGAAAACCAAATAGCTACTTCTGCAGTATTGTGTATGTTGACATATTAAAACAAGTCCCCTGAACGTTTTGTTTGTCTTGTTTGAAAAGCAATATCCTGGAGAGCATTAAACACAGGAAAACAATGTTAAAGCCAGTACTTTTCAACATGCAAAACTCCTGAATCTGTGCAGGTTTACAACCTAACTCATTTTGCAGCCTTGGTGGAGTTTGATTAGAATCATTAAATAATGTGGGTTTTAAAGAACAATGAGAACCTCCCAGATTGAGGGCACACAGCACAGCTAATGTGTTTCTTCTAGATGTAGTCTCAGAAGAGGGTTTCAGTTTACATATAACACTGGCCTGTGTGGCCAAGGAGCAAGTTTGCTTTTAACAAGTCCAAGTGATAATCATGATATTTTGCCTTTTAGTTAATGGTATGAATTTTATTTCTCAATAGGCTTTTTGTAAATGAGATGCTCAATTAAAAGTCATCTTATTTGCAAGGACTTTCTCTCTCTTTGAGATATTTGTTTTCTCTGACTTGGCAATGCAGTGAAACCCTTTTAGGAGAAAAACTCTTCTCTTCAGGAGATTTCAGATATACCCGGATCACATCATGGCCCCTGAAACATAAAAACTACACAGAAAGGCCTAGTAGAGCACCGTTAACTTTAAGGTCAATAGCCATCCCTCCCTACCCCAACCCCACTCACTAGCCATTTCCATTAAACAGGATTTCTATCTTCTATGCTTGTGTAATTTACTACTGGGAAAATTGCAATCTTATAGTTGCTTCCAAAGATTAAATCAAATGCTGCTTCTGTACCAGGGAATTTGGCACTCCTATGACTCTCTATGTACTAAAGGGTTTTTTAAAAGCTTTCTGCTAAAGGGAACAGGTGGGTGTAATGGAATATTTGTATTGACTTAATCTTCTGTATAGCAGATAAACTTGAAAGAAAAAGTCTTCCCTTTAAGGGTTCCGTCTTGTTAGGAATGAAAGAACATTTATGAGTACGTTGTTTATGGTGGGCACTTCCAGGTACCTCCATGTCTCCTCTGGGAGACAACATCACCATTTTACAGGTGAATTCAAATTAAGGTTTTCAGGGACCTGCCCAAAGTCATAAAGATAATGTGGCAGAAAAGGGATTTAAATCTAAGCTTACCAAAATATGGTCTGTGTCTCAGGACACCTCCCTTCTCCATAAGACACCACCCTGAAAGGCAGTGTGATTCACCGGGAACGCCTGGCTTCCACTGAATTTAAGCCATGCAATGCCGGGGTCCCCAACAGTAATGATTCCTTTGTGGAGCCATTCAGAAGTAATAAACAATTCAGAGCCCAAATTAGACTGAGAGAGCTCCTAAAAGCCACCAGATTTCTTTTTGTTCTGAAAAATGAGCTGAATCAATGACAATTTTAGTTTCCAAAATATTTTCTCTACTAGCAGGTCCTGTGTACTAAGGGGAGGTGGCATTGTTAAGAAGGTAGGAGCACCATCTTTGGAGTCAGTAGAATAGGTATGCCACTTAACAACTTCCTGTATGACCTTAAGTAAGTTACCTAATCTAAGGCTTAATTTCTTGCCTTCATAGAAGGCTGCTGTGAGGGTTAAAGTAAACTATGTGACTGATTTAGTCAATGCCTGGAGTAACTTAAATACTCCAAAAATGTGAGGTAACATTACAGTCACATGGAGTTTGGATCAATCAGTGGACCTGCTGAATAGTAATGCCATCTATCTATCTATCTATCTATCAACTATTAACCTTCTATTTTTATTAGGCAAATTGAAGAGAGAAAGAGGTAAGTTTGATTTGGCAGTCGACAGTCAAAATATCTCATTTTAGTATAACAGTACCAAGTATCCACTGGCTGCTCAGCTACATAGCAAAAGTAAAATGGAAAACAAGGTGTCCTGGCTCAGATTGTCTGTAGTTTTATGTGGAGTTAGCCTTAGGATCATTCTCATACAGAGAGCAACATGTACTAAGTTTTCTTTATCCTGAAAAGTATAAACACATGTTTTTGTAGATGTGACGTGCTGTGTATGTGTGTACTATCTTGGTGTGCTTGGGAATTAGAGTAGGGGATGACAAAAACGAAAAGACTAATTACTTTATAAATAATGTTAAAATTCACATCAAAACAGTGAAAATAAAAAAGAGAAAAAAGAAAACCAATAAGCAATACTGGAAAAGATCTGTGAAGAAAAGGCAATGAAACAAACTCTGAAGATAATTGGAAATAATATTCATGTCAGCTTTGAGTGTGGAATTATTAATAATGTATCTTTTAAGTTATTTTGGAATGTATATGTTTAACTGTTATTTTTAGTCATTCGTCCTAAGTTTCCATCTTAGGGGCAAATATGGATGATCTCTACCAGCTTCTACCCTCCCCCCCTCTGCTTTAGGTGAACTGATTGACAGGTGATTATTTTGGGCCAGAAACAGGAAATCAACCCCATAGAAGTGGGCAGATGTTTATTATTTTGAACTAGAATGCTTATGTATTCTTTTTTACGTTTAGACTTGCTTTGCGCTAGCAGCATAGATACAAGTGCTTTGTAAATTTAAATCAATATGTCAGTAGAAATTTTCATAACTTTAGTTGTTACGTGGAAAGCAAATCTTGACCATTTAAGGAATGTTCATTTCTAAAATACTAATTCATGTAATTATGGAATGTGGGAATATTTCACTTTTTTTTGAACAGAAATAAAAGCAATATAGATTTTTACAAAAGGATTTTTATGCATTTCAGAAGAGATCACTCCAGAGAAGTTTTTAATGGTAAGGATTTGCATAGATACCTTTTTGCATCATGCAGGGAAGGAGAATGTACTGAAAAATATAAAAGATGAACCTTAAAGGAAAAAGGTTGTTAAAACACTCTCAGTACCTCATCTGCAATCCAGAACACTTTTCTTTGAAATGTGTCTATTCATGGAGTACTTACAAATAATGTCAGGTAGGAAACTACATAACTTCCTTTTTCATTTTGCAGAAAGCAGAAGCCACTGGAGAAAAACGGCCAAGAGGCAGACCCAGGAAATGGGTGAGTGATAAGATATATTTTCTGTTTGATTATTGTAAAGAAAAAAAAAAATTTAAAAATGAATATATTAGTTGTATTTCAAGGGTTATATGTATTTTTAATTCCTGGAGTGTTACATCTTTGAAAGGGTTAAGGCAAGGACAGATTATCACTGCTTATGTTTAGGCTCCAGGGTTTTTACTCCAAACACTTTCCTTTCCTGAAGGGGACTCCTTTTTCTATGTCTTATCAACATCAAAGGAATTTCCATTCTTCCTTCACATAGAGTAACAATGGGAAGACTTGTTCAGTGGGTTGAGTAAGGAGGGTTGAAGGTATTACGAAACCTTGGGAGTTGATTACAAATGGTGATAAAATTCAGATGAAATGTGTATGAGATAATTTGAATATTTTATTTTTTTGATTTTATGCTTTGTTTTGGACATATATCATTTTCTAGGTGATCTGTGTTTTCTTTTTCATAATGTCTCTGTTAGAAAACAAGGGCTGAATTTCTGGGGTTTTTTTGTTTGTTTGTTTTATGTTTTTGTTTGTTTGTTTGTTTACTTTCCTTAGTGGACGTTGTCTACATACTGACCTTAAAGACAGTCGCATCCATGCAAGCTTGCTGGACCCCACAGGCACATACAGGCTGTGAATTTTGAGGCCAGAAAATTAGTGGTTGCTCATTTTACCATTTGAACCTTGATCTCACATGACCCAGGGACTTCTGATCTGTCTTGCCCACTGATAGACGGAACGAGTCCTAACATTAACCCAAGCCATTTCTCAAGAGGGTGAAGGCCGCCTCTGTACCCAGTATTTTCTGTAATGGGATCCTTGGCTTTCCTCTTCCCTGCCCCTGGTTTATTCTCCATGTTCTACCTTTTTTTAAAGTTTCCTACTATCCTAGATTATGTTTTCCTGTTATTTTGCCATTCCCTTCTACTCTTGAGTTCTGCATCACTTTCTATTTACACTTTGGTATTGCCTTTCATTTAATTGATTCATCTTGGCTTTTTTTTTTCCTGTTCCACATGTGTTGGGATTAGATTTCTTAGCACAAGGAAAGGGGGATGATCTTTAGATTAAAAACATCTCAGTGTCACAGTGTAACCTTAATGTAAGTGCTTTTCATTCAGCCTGCTGTTCATACATGAATTTTCTCCAAAACTAACTAGCATGTGGTGATCATCCAGCCCTTGCCCTATCACCTCTAATGTCAGAGAACTCACTGTCTCTCAAGGCTGTCCCTTCCTTCCCGGAAAGTCTTATGAGAGTCTAAATTAGAGTCTTCCATTTGACTCCCTGTGACTTCTGCCCACTGTCTCCAGGTCTCCTCAGTGAAAATATACAGAGCAATTGTTTTCACTTTCCCTGATGCTAGCTCTTCAAACACTTGTTCTCTTTTTTTGATTTAAGGATCTCCAAATCTTTCATTATTTTTCTCCATAAAGGAACATTCTTGTTATTCTTTTTTCAAGTGCTTTGTTTTTTAATCTTTTGAAATATATCACCCAGAACTAAGTATCACATTGCAAGTGTGGATTCTGTAACCAGGGGGTTGGTTTATCATCTCTCTTGCTGTACATGTGGTTCCAGTTACCTGTTACTGCTTAATAAACGGCTCCAAAACAATAGTGTAAAAAAGCAACTATTTTCTTATGCTCCTGGATTCTTTTGGTTAAGAATATGGACAGGGAACAGCAGAAAGTCTTGTCCCTGCTCCAGAATGTCTGGGGCCTCAGCTGGGAGGACTTAAGCATCAGGAGACGACTCCAATACTTTTGGATCTGGAATTTGGAGACTTCTTCATTGATAGGTGTGGTGCTTTTGATTGACCAGAAATCTGGGCATGTCTAGGAGTAGAACATGCATACATGGACTCTCCAGCTAGGCAGTCTCTGGGAAGTCAGTCTTCTTATCTGTATGCAGAGTTCCTAGAAAAAGTGTTCTGGTAACCAAGAAGAAATTACAAGGCCTTTTTTGACATCATCTCAGAAGTCAAAAAGTACTATTTCTATTATACTCTAGTGAGTGTACTGTTCATTAAGTTGTTAGTGGAAAACATAAAACACAGGTATGCTCTTTTCTAAGCATCAGAACTTTGAAAAGATATCCTATGCTATCGAACTGATGACTATGAAAGACTTGTTTCAAGAGGCAACATGATAGACAATAGGTGAGCTCTTTGAAGTCGCAGGATTAACATGTCTAAGCTAAACTAAAATAAAAGTTAGCATGGAGCTGGGTATGTGTGTGGCTCAGTGGTACAGGGTTTGCCTAGCATATGGGAGGTTCAATCCCCCAAAACACACACACACAGACACACACACACACACACACACACACACAAATGCCCATGCACAACACATACACAAAAGGAAGTTGACCAGGCAAATACTTCACAATCGAGTGGGGCCTCTTAACTCTGCATTTCATTTCTTCTGCCTTTGGGCTATTCCATAATATTCTCCAATTAACCTGCAAAGTTTGAAATCACAAAAACTGCTCTTCTCTGCAGTCTTCCATGGCTCCACAACTGGCGAGTGAATGAATTGCAACCTGCCCTAGAACCTCACAGTCCTCTAGCTGACACCTAACTATCTTTATGCCTTTGTTTCCCATCACTCATCCTCACCCAGCTAATGTTTCTGCCAAGCCAGAGTAAAGCATACAGCAAGATTAAAGGGTCTCTACATTTTTTTCTTAGTGGGGTTCTTGCTTATCTGGGAGGAACCTGGATTTCAGGCATCTGATCTTCAAGCTGGAAGAAGCCCAGAGGAGATGTCCACCTGGTCTTTCTGGGAAGAGCCGGGCATCCTCATTGATTGTCCTGGTTTCCAATATTTGCTGGCTGTGAGAATGGAAAATTTTGTGTGATGAATTGTTACAAGTCCCTGATTTGGTCCCCCCAAGAAGAGCTGTTCTACTTAGAAGGGGAAATAAAAGGAAATTGTGTATTTTTTCTAGACAACGTGTTTCCTCTTTGCTTGTATATCTTCTGTTGGTGACTGGGGAACCAGTCACAGCCAGGCATGCCGTTCAGTGGCATTCTTTGCTGGAAAGCTTGCACTGAAGAAACAAATCATTGCGATTTCCATAGGAAACAGGCTTGTACTTTATAGTAAGTTAAGTTCTTTCCAACAGTGTCATTCACTGATTTCCTTGAGTTGGAGATTTATTTTTGAACTGACTGGATTTACTATGTATATGGTTTAGAAGCCAGATGGTTCCCTTTTATTCTTGTGGATTGTTTTGTTTTAAAGTACTTTTGCTTTTAAAACCACATCCTATAACTCTCAGAGATTCATGTAACAGGTCTGGAAAAAAGTATCTGCACTGTTACCCTCATCTGATATAATTAGGATTGGTAGCTGGGAGTTTAATCAAAAGCTGAGTAAGTAGAAATATGTAGGTATAGGAGAGAAACTGACATCAATCTTGCTTCTGGAGGGGCTGGAGCATTGGCTAATCCAGTGATCCAGGAAGCAGGTTAAGCACACTTCTTCTGTTTACTTCCTTATGTCTCCTTAACCCCAGCAGAATTTGATTTCACACCTTGATATCAGATAGAGACTAATTTTTTAAAAATATATAGTTAGGAGCTCAGGATCTGACTTCAGATGGCTTGGGTTTAAATTCTGACCTATCAGTTGGCTAACTGTGTAATCTTGAGCAAATTACATGACCTTTTAAAAGGTCTGGTTTCCTCATCTGCCAAATGTACACGTCTCATAAAATTCTTGTAAGGATTAAATTCTTGTGAGAGGGTGCCGGCAAAAGTCTTAATCAAGGGTACAGCATATAGTGCTCAATAAATGATAGAAATTATGATTAATTCCTCTGTACAGTTTCATGTTGATATTAGTTGTTGCCTAAGCCCTCCTTACTTACAGCCACCAGTAGTTCCACATACAGTGAAATGACATGTCAAACTAACCAAGTTTCCTTTATGGTATTATTATGCCTTCCATGTACCTATGCTGAATATTATCAAGTTTAAGATTGCTTACAAATGATATTAAAGCACATTTGAAGTCTGTTTGCATAGGGGAAATTTGTGTGTTACAGTTTATATGCCTTTCTTCTAACAGTGAAGGATTTGGGGCATGTCTTGTTTAATTTGAAAAGTAGTATTTCTACTGTTTGCCTCATTATGTACAAATGGAGATGTGCTGGTTCTCTGTAGAACCTCTGTGGGATTCCATTAGCCAGTCTTGCTGCCAACTGCATTTATGTAATATTTGCATTTCTCCATTTTTGCCTGGAAAAGGAAGCTCATCACATGGCTAGTTTAGTGATCGAAATTATTTGGAGAAAGTTTTAGAGTGGAACTAAGACCCAAGGATACAATGAGATAATAAAGATGTTAACTTCATCTATGCAATGCTTTATCCAGATGTCAGTGAACAACCAAAGCTGGAAGAAAGAAAAAAAAAAAAAAAAAGCAAGAACCAGATAATGAAGAATACATCAGTGAGAACAGTCAGCACTTTAGGTGTTGTTTTGTTTTCAGAATATTTTTTTAAGAAAGGAAATTAACAACAGAAGGAGAATAGTCTCAAATATGAATTAATATATTTTAAAAGAAAAATAAAAGTTATTCTGGAAATTCTGAGATTGACCTACAAGTTGACCCAAGGACCAATTAACTTCAATTGATCACTAGGAAGTTAGTAAGAATTCCAGCTGTTTTCTTGTGCTGCTGCTTATCTTTATTTGGTAATGGGGTGTGTGCAGTACGTTTAGTTTAAAATATGCCTTTCCATCCCACCTCTTTTTTGTGGGTGTTGGAGCACAGTGGTCTTTCTTTTATTAAAAAATACTTGTGGATACAGAGGCAAGGGATGTAATTTAATTTGCTAATTAAACATCTAAGGTCTCTAGATAGGTAACCAGGGCTTTTGTGTTTCTAACTTTGTGAGAATCTAGAAATCTCTATGATGAATTGAGTATCAAGAAGGAGGAGCTAAATCAGAATAAAATCTACTCTAACCAGAATGATTAAAACTGTGATTTTCTTCCACGGTTCCCAAGCATTCGTATATTAAAGAACCTGGAATCTAATGTTAAAGCTAAAGCATTAGGTTTTCATTTCCATTGCTTTTCCTCTTACAGATGTTTGTTGCTTTTAAAAAAAACTTTTAGCCATTTGTAATTTAACACTTCTCTTGTTTAAACTGAAATTTAATATCAGTGTTTAGAAAGAGATACCCAGTAATGCAGATTGCAGATGATTCTAACTTTGTAATGGAGTCAGAGGGGAAAAAATGACTTTAATATAACATCAAAAACTGTCTGCTAATTCAGTGTGTGAAGGAGAAACCCATGCCCCCCAGAAATTTGTAAATTAGCATGCTTTATAAAATTGTAGATGCTCTCTTTAAAGTGCACAGATTTTGTATATATGTTCAGTAATTAAAATATAAATTTTCTGATGCATATAATGCATTCAGAGTTGGAGAGTAATATTTTCTGAAGCTATCCCTTTCTTTACAATATTTTGTGATAAAAATCAGTGCTTTCCAAACCCTAAAAGACCACGGTGGGGAAAAGTGTCTTACTTGTTTTATTTTAGTAACTTACTGCAAAATTTACTAAAATACTTATTTAAAATCACAAGATTAAATATGAAAACACTAATAAGTCATATCC